GTAAGATCTAGGCTATAAAGTACTATACGCACTTAGACGCTCTTATTTATTCTACTTAAAAGTGTTAGCTTTATTATATTATTCTTCTAGAGATTACTATCTTATTACTAATAGCGTATGCAATTAAGAAGTTAGTATTTAGTAGAGCTTTTAGAGTAGGCAAGCTACCTAGATTAAAGAAGAAATGCATTTTGCCTGCTACTAATTTTATGTTTTAGAAGACTTAGGACCTAAAAGGCCTACTAGACCTAAAAGTTCTACTCTTTTACTACTCTTCCTACGAACCCGATAAAGAAGACGAATAGAGGGAAGGTTTATACACAGACATGTCATAGCTAGGAAAGTCTGTAGCAAGTTCTGCTACCTCGCCTATCTGCTACGCGCTTGCGAGAAGATGGTTGAACGATTGCCTTCGCAATCCCGATCATTCGCAGTGTTAGAATCGCCGAGAAACTCCTCAACTTTCAACCCGGGTACTTGATATTAGTACTTAACAATTAGGTCCATTTCTCTACGTACTATGTTGCCGGTCTGCCCCTTACATCACATTGAGTCATTGTTGGGGTGGAAATATCGACGCGAAATGTCTCTCTACCAATCTTGACAGTTACCGAAATGCAGTGAGCTTGAAGATTCTTCCAAGGACATTCCAGGATGCTATCTCTATCACTCGACATCTTGGGTTTCAATACATCTAGATTGATGCGCTGTGCATTCTGCAAGACAGTCCTGAGGACTGGATGCAGGAAGCTAAAAAGATGGGCGAATATTATCGCAATCCGACTCTTACAATCGCTGCTGACGACGCCAAAGCAAGCATCGAAGGCTTCCTCCAGCCGCGCAGGCCTACTGCTGTCCACGGTGCGCCCATTGGTGTTTACGCATTTCCAGATGGATCTCGCCGGCATCTGGCTGTTTCGAAAATCAATATGGGCCTTTGGACCGGTAGTAAGCTGGAAGAAAGAGCATGGACGTTACAAGAGCGAGTTCTCTCTTCACGAATACTCCATTATACTCATAAAGGGTTGTTCTGGGAATGTCGAACTGATTCCTGGCATGAAGCTGGCGGCTCGAGGCCCCCCTTCAGCGAATATCAGACCCTTCCATCCAGAGCCGAACACGATATCGACCAGCAAGAACTTTCTCTGAGATGGGAAGCGATAGTTCAGGATTATTCTTCGAGGCAATTGTCAGTTCCAACAGAGAAACTTCCAGCACTCAGTGGCCTGGCTGCCATGTATGCAGAAATGCATGTGCTAGAAGAAGTATCTAGCGGGGCTTTGGGCTCATGAGACGCCCCGCTGTCTCTTATGGAATGTGTTGTCCCCTTACAAACCCTCGGAACCTGTACTAGCGTATCGCGCCCCATCATGGAGTTGGGCTTCCATGAATGCGGGGGTATACTACCCCGAAGAAGAACTAGACATGTTTGATACTGTTAAGCCACTCCCGGGGTTCAACATTGTGGATGCGGATGTCAAGGAGCGCTCGCCAGGATCGTTTATGCATGTCACAGAGGGCTATATCACAGTGATGGGCACGCTATACTCAGCACGCTATTTCGACAGAGGGCATCAACTGGGAAGCTATTATCGTGGATCTTTGGAAAAATCATTGCCAGGACTACGTAAAGGCGAATGGAAAGGCTGGTTCATGGACACAGACTATACCGAAAGGGACTGCTGTCTTTTGCCATGCATGATCTCTGACGTTGATGTCGACAAAGACGATACACATTTCATCCTTCGTAAAGTCAAAAGGGCTGATTATGAGAGTGACGAGGATGAAGAGAATAGCGTGGATGGAGAGAATACGGAAGACATAGTGGACCAGGGCGACGAAGAGGAGATAAGGATCGAGGAGCAAATCCATGCATCGTATCGTATGGAGGGGCATAGTAATAAGCATAGCGATAGAAGCAGGAGTAAAAAGAGCAAGAGCGATGAGGCGGGTCGTGAGGGAAACCAGAGCGACGATGAACAACCTGACAGCAAACGAAGCAAGCATACCGATAGTTCATCGAAAGTAGAGGATGTTTGTCGCATCTATATGCTTGTCTTGGAGGAATATTTGCCCAGGGTCACAAACAGTGATGACAACGACAACCGCGACAAAGACAAGAAAAACGAAGTCCGAACGTTCAGACCAATTGGCCTTGCCTATTGGAAGGTATCGACGGCCCAGATTCACGAGCTTCCAAATATAGAACGCATCAGGATCGAATGATGTATTGCTAGTATCAGAGAATACAACGGCAAGAGGACCTTTGTTACCTAGGTACTTATATAAATCAAGTCAATCCCTGCAAACGTATAGTCTCTTACTTTAGCAATAAGCAACAGAGAATAAGCAAGTCGATGGTAGGTAGGTGGTCGCTAGATCTCGTTCGATCCTACACTGGCGTTCGTCGTGTCTCCCCGCGAAATACATCATGAGGGCAACTCCGCAACTCCAGGTGCAAAGCAACGATTGTTGAGCTCGTAGTGCGCATCAAAATACACGCTATCTTCAGCCTTGTGGGGATGCAATAGCCTTGGCAGCTTTAATAATAGCCTAGCGTTGGGTCCATCGGGTCTAGCTCGAGAGAACTCTAACACCACTTTCGCTTCACGAGTCAGCCCATGCTTGGAAGTCTCCTATCCGCGATGTAATATATTCTGGTCGCTCCCTCTCACGATTCTGGCAATGCGTCCTCATTCGCCGACCGTTTCTTAACCCAAGTCACTCGTTCCGACGGTTCTTTTGCACGATGCGTTCTTCGATACTGTTAGCCGTTCCGGCCCTTTTATTCTTTAATGTCAATGCGTTGCGCGTCAGCACCTCAAGTGTTTGCGGCAAACAGTCTTGGAACACGCTTACTTGCAAGGATTCGTCTTGGGGAAACTGTTGCTCTAAGAATGGACGTTGTGGTTCCACTACACAACACTGCGGAACTGGCTGTCAGGCTAAATTCGGAGACTGCAAGTCTCCAGTATCTTCAGCGCCCGCGGTCATCCTTTCCTCAGCACCTGCTGCGTCATCGAAAACACTTGTAGTATCCTCGACGAGACTCGTAGTGTCATCGGCAGCGCCCGCAGTCTCATCCGCAGCACCTGTACCTTCGTCGGCAGCACCCGCAGTATCATCGAAAGTGCCCGCAGCATCAGCGGCCCCGGTTACGGGCGGAAAGATCTCCACTGATGGAACTTGCGGCGGAACTTCTGGCTTCACATGCGTCGGCTCTTCATTTGGCAATTGCTGTAGCGCCTATGGATGGTGTGGAACAACCGCCGCCCATTGCGGCACCAGCTGCAATGCAGCCTTTGGAAACTGCGGGCCGGTGTCATCTTCATCAACCCTGTCCACGACTGCAGTTCCAACTGTAACTTCGGCAGCTACACCAGCACCCACTCAGAAGATCTCCGTCGACGGCAGTTGTGGTAGCGGAGTGACATGCCTAGGCTCTTCGTTTGGCGATTGCTGCAGCGCCTACGGATGGTGGTAAGCTCTCATTCTTCTCTCTCCCTCCCTCTCATACTAATATCAACTCGCAGTGGAAGCACCGCCGCATTCTGTGCAACAGGCTGCCAAGCTGGATTCGGAAAGTGCGACACTCCGCTCCCCAGCCCATCCCCAAGCACCACGTGTGGCGTCGAAGGCTTCGCCAATGTTGAGGCATATTACGCTTCTTCGTTCAACTTGATCGATGCGACCGATGTTTCGACTTGTGCGACGCTGTGTTTGGCCGAAGCAGAATGCAAGAGTTATTTGTTCAACCCGAAACTTGGAAATTGCGCGTATCTTATGAATTCGCTCGAGCAGGGAGAGTTTATTGCCACGAGTGGCACGGATCAGCTTTTCTGGGAAAGAATATGCGCCGAGGCTAAGTAGACTATTGAGCAAGGATGCTGGAGCTATAGCTGAGGGGTCCTCCAAGCATGAGAGGTAGTCCAGGGGACATAATGCAAGGTGAGACAGCGAGCTATAGACTTCAGAGTGTATATATCTACATCTCAACAGATAAGTACATACTTACTATCCATACCCAACATGTTACCAAGAAGACAAATGCGCTTTAATCTTAGAAGGGGCCGGCTGGACCAAAGTCCGGTCCCGTTCTCCACAAGCTATCGTAATTGCTCTGGGCCCATTTTTTTCGCTTCTCAGGTGGGTTGTTAGGATTGAATCGATGGGCGTTCTTTCCAAGCCCACTGCTCAGAAACTTCAGACGTTTAGTAGATATAGGGCCATCAGTAACCATGACTTGCTGCAACCACCTCCTTCCTTTGTCATCGTTGCCAAAACTTGCCCTGAAATTGGACTCAGCAGCCTGTAGCCACACATCAGCCTTTCCCTCAATAAGATGGAGTAGCATGTCAATCCAATAGCAATACAGATCGCGCAAACCTGCTTGTGGGTCGTCGGTATCTCGCTGTGGTCGACCTAGCTGCCCGATATTTTGGACAGCATTGCCGTTCCAATCGAAGGTTGTATCGAAATCGCGAAGAATCCCTTCCATGTACTGTGAAGACGCAGTGAATTTTGGCCAAATCCAGGGATTGCGCATGTAGGAGAAAACCCCGGCCGTATTGCGGTGCATGATAGATGTTCTTTTCAAGTTTTCCTCGTTCGCTGAAGTGAGAGTATTGAGGGCAAAGAAGTGGGCTTTACGCCCGTTCACGTCCTTGTAAAGGAGTGCAAGGCCGCCTGGGTTGTGATTACCGCCCAGGCCATGCGTCATTTGGAACAAGGTGGACATCTCTGTCCAGGAAGGCGCTGTGTGCGGCTCGATTGTTTGTTCGTTCATACCGATAAGCACATCAGCAACCCAATCTTTTGTTGGGGATCTGTATCCACCGGGAAGTGGCCCCTTCACAAGCCATTCCATGAAGTCGGGCAACAACTGGGCTTCATAAATGTGCTCCGCTTCTTAAAGTTAGCGGGCTGATTTGAAAAGATAAAATGACCCCAGCTCTTATTCCACCGTATCGAACATCCGTGGCTCTAGGGTAATTACTTACTCGCGTATAGTTTTGTGTTTGTTTCAGAGGCTTTGAGTTTGACCACCTCCAATTCACACGGACCGTCTAAGTCTCGATAGCCGAACCACTTGTTAACTCCACTCTGCTTGCTTGCTTCAGAGCAATACCTATAATGCCCGCAGGGCAGCGGTATGCCATCCCACTTGATGAGTTTCTCTGGGTCACGCTTCTCCAGATGATGCTTTTGCTCAATCCATTGCATTTGCTCAAGGGCACTGTAATCGTCGTCCGTCAGGCTTCCGTTCTTGTTGCCTGTCTCGGCGTCACGCTTCTCGTTGATGTCGATGTCACACGTAGGACCTTTGGCGTAAGAATCGAGCCAGCAAGATTCAGCGCGTTTTGATACGGTTTCGTCGTCATCGTCGCCACACAGCGGACATGGCGGTATGTCGCCCACATCGATGGCGCCGGGACAATTCAAGCCATCCAAGCGAGGTACCAACGGGCCGTATACTTGGGCCCTCTTTTGAAAATGACCTCGATCATGTTTGCTTTCATCCTGCGCGATCGACATCGGATCTCCAGATCGTCGCTCCAATCGCGCGGAGGCGTTGACGATAGTTGGGACGTCATCAACAGCACGCCTTTTGGACAAATCTATGCATGCTGGTGAATTGTCACTGGGGTAAATCTGAACGTCGTCGACGGGAACAATGGGGTACGGTGTGCTGGGAAGCGCCCAATCAAACTCGGATGGAGCATCGATAGTCGCATAGAGATCGGCACCAGCGTCTACGCCATAGCAGAAAGAGGAATCGCTGTTCAACTTTAGCTCGGCGTGGAAAGTGACATGGCCATCAGCAACAAGGTTAACAGCGCAGCTGTCGATTGGTATGAAGTCTGCGTTGAAGTCGATGCCGAAGGTTATCGTCGGTTTGACGTGGGCGGTAAGATAGCCCTCGAGCGTCACGCCGTACTCAAACTCGGGATCAAGCACATTCTGCGTCCCCTTTTTCTTCGGAGTCTTTGAAGCGTCTGGGATCCAATCATTATTCGCGACTGGATAGGTTTGCCGAACATCCCATTCTGCGAGTTTGACCTTGCTCTCAAATTTGACGCCCAATGTCGCTTGACCTTCCAGTCTTCCAAAAAGCTTGAAGTTGGGACCGATGGTGACGATGCCGGGCACAGCAAAAGCTGCCCCAAATTTATCCGCAGAAAACATCATGATGTCTCCGGTATCGAACATTGCTGTGACCGCTGCATCGATAACAAATTTGGCGTCTACCTCGCCCTTCGTCCGAAAATAAAGGAAGGAATCACTGAGGTCGATGAAGCTACCCGGTTTGCCCAGCGTGGCGACAAGCGTGAAGCCATAGTTGACGTCGACATCAACGTGACACTCTGCTTTGACTTCTAGCTTGGCGGCCATGTTTGGACAAGTCAGCTTTTGGTCGATGATCTTGAGTATGAAGTCGTCCGAATACGTGTGGCCAAGGTCAAGACCACCAGACACTCCATTGATGATTCCTTTCAACCAGTCAACGACATCACTACCGAACCAACGCTTGTGCAGTTCCTCGATAGACAATGCGCCAAAATGAGTATCATCGCGCCACTCCTCCTCTAGCCAGCGCCTGTGGCTGCCGCCAACATCCTCCAAACGCCTCTTTCGGTGTTTTCCGCTCGCAGTCTTGTTGACAATGTTGTCCCAGTACTCGGGCTCGTTACTGAAGTCAATCCTCATCTGAGTAGTACCCAGATCGCGTGGCACTCGCTTGAATTGATAGTCGAAGGTCAGGTCGTAGATATGGTCGATGACTGAGAGTCCTCGCTTGACAAGGCGATGAGGCAGGCCTTGGTTCTTGCTCACCTCCAAGGTCTTCACCACAGCATACTTGCCTGGTCCGCACCCAGCTGGCATTTCAACGATGGTACCAGGCGCACCATGGCCGAGATGAATCTTGTCGCAGTTCGAATGTTCACTTCGGTCAGTGCACATCATTCTCACGGTGTGTTCTCCCTCGGTAATAGAGTCGAAACAGTCAAACACCTCCCAATGAGAACCATCTCGCTTGTCGAGAGACACCTGCAGGGTGTCCGGACTCGTAAGGACAACGAAACCAAATGGCGCATTGTCCGGTTCCTCGGAGAATGGTACGGTGTTTGTACCACCATAAGTTGGATCCGTCTTGAGATTGAACTCGGTGTCTGCTTCTTCTTCCTTTGGGGGATTGCTGAAGAGAAAGTCGAGGGGAACGGGCAGGAACGGAGATTTCCCATCTGGTGGATCACAGCAGAATGCCCGCTGGCGGTCAGGATGCCAAAATCCACAATCTTCCCCTTCTCCTTCAAAACGTGTAGCTATCGCAACTTGCCAACCTGTATCGCAGTGATTGTCGAAGCAGCTACCCGGCTTGCCGTGCCAAGCGCAGTTCTTCCATCCCTCTTCTTTGCTGCAGCAGAGCTTGCGCTTCTGGTCACTGCCACAGGTATCGTACGACCAGGTCATCTCGTCATGAGTATTAGGGCACGAGCCACCGCAATCCGTCCAGACACAATCTGGCATTTGTGCTTCCGCTTTGCAGCAGTAGAACTTGTGACCGTCGATGCACTTGCCCCCGTCGCCATATCGCGATGATTGCAATGCGACTTCGGCGGGGTGACACTGTCCATTACACGTTGGGTTACCGCCTCTCCATTCACTATCAATCATCAGTACGTCCAATGGAAAAGTTCGAAGAGGTGGGGCTTACCAATCCTCAGCTTTGGGAGCCGATGCAAGGGGGCAACATAAAGTAGATATCCTGTAGGACCCATCCCAGAAATCTTCATCCTCGCATTGCGTTTGCGTGACAGCAATCTCGCCAATCTTGCAACTGCTGACGCCACAGTCGGTTACTCGGCACTTCCCAGTACCGGAATCCTGCCAGTTGTCCACAGCCGTAGCGCCTTCGGCTTTGACGCCGAGTGGCTCCGGGTAGAGGACTGCCTCAAGTGCGTCGAGCTGTTTCGTATCCAAGTCGATGGCCCAGATCAGTAAGCCACCTAGTCCGATGGCATTGAAGTACTTGATCTTTTGTTGAAACGTCTCGTGATCGTCGAAGGATACCCATTGATCGCCGCCCCAGGTCACATACTTTACACCGTGCTCATAGTCGTAGTATGGCGTCAGATCATTCTGAGCGATTATATCCATAATCTCGGAGTATGACAATGTTCCAGAGTTTGCTGTGCATGGACCCGGTGAAGCACCACCCTTGAACAGACAACCAGGCTGTGAACATGCAGGATCTGCTAGTTGGAAAGACCGACCATAGAAACCGAGTCCCATGTTGACCTTTTTGGGGTCCACATGGTTACGCCACAGTAGGTCTAGTGCTTTGTTGATCTCGGTAAGATTGGTATGAGCGAGGACTTGGGCTCCGATAGGATTCTCGGCATCCCAGATTCCGTGTAAATCATATGCCATCACATTGACGAAGTCCGCAGCTTGGACGCTGGCTCTTACATCAAAATGTCGCAAATACTACAGCAATGAGGCACGGAGTCAGCAATCTCCACACACTCGAGGGCGACTAGAGAATCTGCTTACCCAGTAACTGGTAGGAGCTGTAAAGGATATCTCCTTGTGCGAGCCACCCGACTTATCAAACTCGGAACGCATTTGTTTGATGAGTTTGGTAAGATTCTCACCGTCATCAGGCTTGCCTCCACGGTCGGTAGCTCCCGGATATTCCCAGTCGAGATCTACCCCATCGAAACCATAACGATTAAGGAACGTCAAGAGCTTTTTGATGAACAGACCGCGCTTAGCTGATGTCGACGCTAAGTCGCTGAACACCGGTTGCCATATCGTACCGTTGTCGTTGAATGTCCATCCCCCCAAGGCTATAATGACCTTGAGTCCTTGGTTCTTCCGTTTGAGGCTAGCAAACTCGGTGAATGTATCAGTAGATAGCTCCTCCCCATCGTCCATGGGAATGATGTCGAATGTACTTGGGCGAATGTAGCCGAATGAGTAGTAGATGTGAGTCAGACTGCCGACCGGAATGTCTTGCATCCTCATACCAATGCATTTCTTCTCATGGTTCCACGCCTCGTAGTATCCGATGATACGTTTTTGCACATCGCTGCCCGATGCACCACTGTCTGGCTGTTCACAGTTGCTTTGACAGCTTGTCTCCTTGTCATCGGTCACCTTGCAGTAGTCATCTGCCATACCGCAGAAACCGAATTGACTACAGCAGACATTTAGAGGGCATGTCTTGTTCGGGGGGTCGGAATGGCGACCACATTCTGCATGAGCATCGCAGTTACTCCAGCAAACCTCGTTCGGGGACTGGCCATTTGTTCCACAGGCCTTCTCTCCGTAGCTGCAAACCCCAGTCTTGGCGCAACAGGCTCCGTTGCTGCAGGGCTTGTCTGCGCTGCAAACATATGGGTCGTCTGCTTGGCGTGCATGGAGGCTGGAAGCTTCGAGTCGAGAGGTTGACGGCGACCTTACAGTATGTGACTGCGTTTTGACATACTCGTCAGGTTGACAGACACCGTCCAACGGCCTGAGTTTGGCGATCAGATCTTCCTGCTCATGGAAAGCCGTCGGAAGAGGTAAACAAATCGAGTCCTGATCAGCGCCGCGGGCTGCAAACGGTTCATGTCTGTGGACGTGCTTGTGACGATGGTAGTGCCTTGGGGAGGCTATCACCGGAGTCACTAGCAGCGCGTAAGAAATGAAGACAGATGAGAAGACGACCATCTTGCAGTAACATGGATGGTGAGGGCTTCTTGGTACCACTGTGCGCCATGTCAGTATACGGACACTTTTACGCAATCGCTGATTGACAGAACACGTACCTCAGATGCCACTCCCTTTACGTGCTGATGCTGGCAAAGCAAATTTAGAGAGCACTCAAAAATAGAAGCGCGAGAGCAATAATGAACTGCCAAAGGCTAAAGTGTGGTCTATGTTCGGTTGCAGGAGCTCCACAGATCTCTGAGGACGTTCGACGGTCGGGATGGCAAGGGCAACAAAACGATGAACGTGCCAGTTCTATTCCTCAGGTAGTTGTGGCAGGGCCAACGTGCCACTCGAAGTGTGAGCTCCACCGTCTTGCCTCTGATCAAAGGTAAAGTTGAGACTCCAAACTCAATAAGGTATCTTCACCGGCTGCCAGCCCGACCATGCCACTAGTGAGTGGGAACCATTTGTAGCGCAGAGGCACGGCACGTCGCGCGCATCATGGTGGAGCTTCTTGTGACAGGCTTCTCTCTTGGGTATCGTGAAGGTCGATCCGAAACTGTATCGAGGTAATCTCAGCAGGTGCACTGATGCCTTCCGAGGTCCTAGCCGCAGGAGGCTAGAGATGCCGAAGCTTTGGAATTATCCCGCCATGGCCGGCCGCGCTCGATTGCGGAAGAGGCACAACGTGCTATAGGATCATCTGGGTCCCTGATGGTAGAAGCCAGCTCTTCGCGCGCATCCATGAATCGATACCGTGGTCGATAGTAGGGATTGAAGAACAAGTACGACGGTGTGTCACTATTTTGCATCGGTTGCGAAGCGCCCGCGGACCCTGCCAAGACCACCTAGGTAAGCGTGGGGACTTGCCAAGACGGCATGATGCCGAATTCAAACGATAACACCATGCGGCAGCATTACGGCTCGTCAGTTGAAGACCCGATCGAGGACAGTGCTAAAACCTTCCTATGATGACCCATCCCATCTTTGGTGCGATCCGCGCCTCGCTTATGCAACAACTCGATACCTCGATTGTGCCTGAGTACCTAGGTACCTAGGTATTGATCGGTTGCCTGTGTAGACGGAAAGCCAACGGCACCATGAAGTGCAAGGCGCCTTACGAGATGTCGGGTGCCGAGTGAGGTGTTGGCACCAGACTTACTACCTGTCCAACCTGACAAACCCTTGCACGGGTCCGTCTGATCTAGAACAGACGGAATCTTGTGCAGCCTTGGCCCGTGTATATCGACTACGCCGCATTCCCCACATACAATTTATTTGACTTCGCTAGGCATGCACAGTACTACGCTACGAGAACTGTACACACTACTAGGCTAGATTTGTCCTCGACTCAGAGACCCATCGCCAGCGCGCCAGTTATGGAAGTCCCTCCGGATGGCAGCGCAAGCTTCACCTTCCCGGCTGTATCAACCCCATCGATACTGAGCAGAGAAATTCATTCAGTCGTCGAGCATTTCGTCAATGATGTTTTCACAAGCGACGGTGGTATGTTTTACCTTGTCCGCTTTCTCTTCCAGCTGCGATGCCTTCCAATTTATCAGCAAAGATACGCTGCCAGCGGACGATCTGTCGATAGGTTGCGTTGCGGCTCTGACGAAAGATATCCCCAACTGTCCACGGCAGATTAGCAACTTTGCGACGGGATCTTACTTTGACGTCGATGCTCTGGAAAAAGCCTGCACAGCAGACTGCGCAACCTCGTTGGCGACGTACAACGCGGAAACCGCTAGCGCATGCGGTTCAACAGATGTTTATAGCGTCACCGAAACGCGCGTTGCTCCCGTGCGTTTTGTGTCGGAGCTTCTCTACTACTACTTCAACCGAACCTGCATACAGGACGGAGAGCGATGGTGTAATCGAGTGTCATATGCAATGTCGAACGACAATGTAACATCAAGGCTGGTGCTTAGTGACAAGGAGGCGTCCATTCAAGATGCGGCTCTGGAGACCGTTTCATCGCCCATAGACAGTAAGTCATTTCAGTAACATATCGCCAAATCCATTGGGATGTGGAGACTAGTCACCATCATCTTATCATACCGATCGATGGTATTGAGCTCATCTGACCTTTACCTAGGAAGACAGCAGCAGATGGAGGTCGACATGTGTGACAACTGTATCATCAAATCATACCAGTTTCAGGCCGGGTCTCCTATCAACGGCGGATATGCACTCCAATCGATGTTCAGCTCTTTGACAGCAAGCTGTTCGAAGACCGGCTTCCCGCTGGCGAGCTCTACTACGCCATTTGCAGGGTACTCCATCATCGTAACAACCTCTCTAAGCATCTCACTAATTACACTAGAGCGACTCCTACAAGCCTTGAACCGGAAGGGTGTACCGGCAAGACCTACAGCATAAAGTCCGGCGACACTTGTCGTTCAATCTCCGAAGCTCAAGGGATTGCCACCTCGTGGCTTCTCTCAGGCAACGGATTGAAACCTACTTGTGTCGACTTCCCTATGACGGGTGATCTTTGTATCCAGAGCACTTGTAAAACTTATGTTGTCCAACAGCACGACACATGTATTGGGATCGCAAAGGCCAATCGAATAAGTCAAGTGCAACTATACACTTGTAAGTCCGGTTTAGTCCGAAGACCGCAAACACGGTCAAGACTCCAAAAAGGAAAGCTTAGCTGATGCATTTCCTCAGGGAACCCAGTCATCGGATACACATGCAACAAACTCGACCAATCCATTGGGGACTCGATTTGTGTCACGCCTCCAGGTGATGTCGACTTCAAGCCCAGTCCAAGTACAACATCGATACCTACATCTTCATCGATTGGAACACCCACTGCTGCCCCGATACCTAGCGATCTCGCCAGTGGCACAAATCGCCATTGCGCACATTATTATCAGGTCCAACCTGAAGAATATTGCAACCTCATCCTTCTGAAGTTCAGCATCAGTCTTCCCGACTTTCGCTTCTTGAATCAGGGCATTAACGATGATTGTACTAATCTATTCGCATTTGAGAGTTACTGTGTACAGGCTGTAGGTCCGGTGGATCAGTATCCCGGGCATCCAGACTACCTACCTCCCGCGACGTCTACGATGGATACACCGTACGAAAATTTTCCTAGAGCGACCTTTACCCCACCTTCACTCGTCGGGTTGCCTACGCCCTCTCCACTCGCAAAAGGCACGAGAAAGGATTGCTTCATATACATGAACGGTGCGAATCTAACGGTACCGGATATCTTGCTCGATCAAGCCGCCTCGGCTTGCGAGGTGCTTGCTACAGGGTGGACGATTTCGTTAGAAGAATTCAAGAACTGGTCAGCATTATGCCAACAACTGTTCAAGAGTGCGAGTGCTCATATTAAGATAGGAACCCATCTCTTCAGACTGACTCCACGGATTGCGCTCCAGCAAAGGACCTCCGCTACTGCATGGCCGCGTACGATGGTGCACTGGCTACGCAAGAGCCGATACCAGAGGAGACGAGCAGCCAATATCCGATCAGAGTGAGTCTTCTGGATACTACTAGTGCAGGTTCACCTTAGTACTAAAGTCTGATCGCGCACAGGACGGAGTCATTGAAGGATGTATCGATTATGGGACCATCGTCCCACCGATGACATGTCAATCGTTCATCATCAACAATGGCATCACCATTGCGCAGTTCTTTGCAATGTGAGTCAAGATGCAACCCCATCCCATATTACGCATCCAGGCGCGTCGTACATATTCGCTGACCATCTCATGTCGTAGGAATCCCGCAGTAGGGTCAGATTGCAGTAACTTATGGCTGAGTACGCTGCCGTCATTGCTCAATCCACTTCTCACTGTCTAACGGGATTGCGCTTTACAGACTACCGATACTGTGTTCGTACGCACGAGATAACCCCCGATACAACGACAAGTGTCACGAACCCCGCGATAACGCCCAGACCAACAAGCTCGGCGCCGCCAACATCGTCCGGACCGGGAGCACCTGGTCCAACGCAGCCTGGCTCGGCTCATGATTGTAACGCTTGGCATGTTGTCGGACGTGAGTACCTCCAACGATCATGTCCTGGTCTAGAGTGCGCGGCCAGTGTTATGAAACAGCTTGCTAACGGGTCCGGTTTAGCCGGTGACACATGTTGGACTATCTCTCAGCTCTATGACTTGGCACTTGATCAGTTCTACCAGTGGTGAGTCATGGCACGGATTACACAAGATAGCGTGTCTGGGTGCTGATCATTCGACAGGAATCCGGCTATTCAAGATGAATGCGCGACTGGTTTTTGGTTGGACTATGCCTATTGCGTAGGAATTTCAGCTTGAGCTTATCAGCTCCCAGTCGGTGCCTTTTGCGGAATGTCAAGAAGTCCAAGTATGCACGCAACTCGACTTCAAGACTGGGGCCTTTTGGAATATAGCAATAGTGACGGGGGCGCATATCGAACAATCTGAATAGAATTATACATATAGCCATGTGAAGCTGTCAAGTAGGGCCGGCAATGGAGA